AGCTGTGAGGAGGCCATTTAAAAGGTTTTGGAGGTTAGCTTCATAATATTTGGGAATCAGGACAGATAGATGTACAATTGTGGAGATCATGTTGTTTGTTGAATTGGTGTCTGTGTGTGAGGGTAATGAGGTGGCAGTTCCTCTGATAGTGCTAGCATAGGTGGGAGAGGTGGACAGGAGGGGGGGGACCTGAGGGGTGGGGGGAGGGTGGGGGGTGGCTTGGGGTAGAGAAGGGAAATTGTTGGAAGAAAGGGTAGGTTGTGGTTGGGTAGAGAATGGATTGGGAGTGTTTGCAGCATTGTCGGCACGAATGCTGAGAGTGTAGTCTTTCCGTTTTTGGCATTGGAATGAGGTGGCAGGGTGAGGTTGTTGGCAGTTGGGGCATTTTAAAGGGTTGGAGCAGTTAATCCAGTAGTGGTCAGGGGAAGAGCATTTAGAGCATATTTGTTTCTTAGAGCAGTTATTTTTGTCGTGACCGTATTCATAGCATTTTAGGCATTGTATAATAGGAATGTAGTTTGGAGTGAAGAGGGCAGTTATAGGGATTAGGTACATCATGGCACGGATGCCATGTTGCAAGAGATGGGAAGCTTCCTCGGGAGTGGAGCAGCGAATTTTGAGTGTGTTAGAGTTTGGTGGTCTGTATATGTCCTCAACAGTTACGTCATTGTTGTTGGCAATGTCCTGTATTAAGTCAGTCCTGTCTTGTTGGTATGCAGTCAGTATAGCGAGTTCAACATGTTTTGCAACAACTGTGCTCCTGGCACGGTGCTCAGGGGTCCAGTTGATGGTAAAACCTGCATCTGAGAGTTTAGATCTGATAGGCTTTGAGCAGAAAGTTTTGTAGGAAGAAGGATCAAGACGAACCTTGAAGCCAGAGTTAGTAGGTAGTACACTGAGTAAAGGGCATTGGGAGATGTTGTGGAGAATGCTGGGGCAGTCAATGGTGGCTTTATCAGGTTTGGAATAGCTTAAGAGAAGGGAACAGTTCGCATTTTGGTGGGAGGCAGACATGGTCGGTAACAGGGCGACAACAGAAAATGCTATCTAGAATAAGGCTAGTGGCAGCGTCAAAAAACATAATAAATGGCCTGTCTACGATGAAACTCAGCAGGGCAAGTACATGTGTAGGTGACACACGTACTTGCCAGGCAATTACCTTAGTTTTCTGCAGAGACTGTCAATGGAGGCGTCAACAAAGCACTGAAATGTAGAGGAGAACTGTCGCTGATGGAGCACTGTGAATGCCCTGAGCGGCGAGGTGAGGCGGCCCAATATGAGTGTCGATCACGTGAACACGCTCAGCCCTGGTGTGGTTGCTTCAATCAGCCAATAGGAGTGCAGAGGGAGACTCCCAACCTCTTGGAAGGTTGCCAGCGACGCACAAATCCTTGTTGGTGAGATTGAAGACGTTGGTACAGCAATCTTGAGTTCAGCAGCAGGAGTGCCTGCCCTAAGGAAGGCAGCCAACGACGCACAGAATCCTGATGTTGAAGGCGAAGATGAAGGTCCAGGTACCACACAATTGTAAACAGCCTCTCCCAAAACACGGGGATCGCAAGGCACTGAGGTGTAGAGAGCAGCTGTGTCTGCACAGGGCGAGAGCTACAGCGCTAATGAAGATCAAGCGACAGCGTTGAGACTTAAATACTGTCGGAAAGAGAGGTGCAGAGTAGTAGTAGTGAGATTGTAGCCACTGATAGGTCATGTCCCTCTCAGAACAAACTCTTCTCACTTGAAGAAGTTGTCCAAGGTGTTTTTGTTCTGTACCAAGATGCCATTGTGTTGCAGTGTCTGACAGAGTGAATATCAAAATGGTATTCAATACCGACAGGATGGTTGTTAAGACACATAGGCAACACTTAAGCAACTTTATTCCGAAACGTTTCGCCTACACAGTAGGCTTCTTCAGTCGAGTACAGAAAGTAGGCAGGAGCAGTAGAGATGTGAAGACGATGTAATCAGTAATCAGTTGCTTAAGTGTTGCCTATGTGACTTAACAACCATCCTGTCGGTATTGTATACCATTTTGATATTCACTCTGTCAGACACTGCAACACAATGGCATCTTGGTACAGAACAAAAACACCTTGGACAACTTCTTCAAGTGAGAAGAGTTTGTTCTGAGAGGGACATGACCTATCAGTGGCTACAATCTCACTACTACTACTCTGCACCTCTCTTTCCGACAGTATTTAAGTCTCAACGCTGTCGCTTGATCTTCAGTTAGTTCCAGACTTTGGAACAGAACTTCTCCAGGCTGAGGGACTGACAACCTCAAATCTACGACTTTAAGGGTGATGGACTGATTACATCGTCTTCACATCTCTGCTGCTCCTGCCTACTTTCTGTACTCGACTGAAGAAGCCTACTGTGTAGGCGAAACGTTTCGGAATAAAGTTGCTTAAGTGGGGTGGCCCGGTGGCCTGGTGGCTAAAGCTCCCGCTTCACACACGGAGGGCCCGGGTTCGATTCCCGGCGGGTGGAAACATTTCGACACGTTTCCTTACACCTGTTGTCCTGTTCACCTAGCAGCAAACAGGTACCTGGGTGTTAGTCGACTGGTGTGGGTCGCATCCTGGGGGACAAGATTAAGGACCCCAATGGAAATAAGTTAGACAGTCCTCGATGACGCACTGACTTTCTTGGGTTATCCTGGGTGGCTAACCCTCCGGGGTTAAAAATCCGAACGAAATCTTATCTTATCTTATCTTGCCTATGTGTCTTAACAACCACATGTATAGTATGCAAAGTCATGGAGAAGATTATCAGGAGAAGAGTGGTGCAACGCCTAGAAAGAAATGAGCTTATCAACAACAGCTAACACGGTGTCAGGGACGGGAAATCCTGTGTCACAAACTTACTGGAGTTCTATGACAGGGTGACAGCAGTAAGACGAGAGAGAGAGGCGGGAACACTGCATTTTCTTGAACTGTAAGAAGGCGTTTGACAGAGTTCCACACAAGAGACTAGTGCAAAAGCTGGAGGACCAGAGTGGGGTTCCACAGGGGTCAGTCATAGGACCGGTGCTGTTTCTGGTGTCTGTAAACGACATGACAGAAGGAATAGACCCCGAACTATCCCTGTTTGCAGATGATGTGAAGTTGATGAGAAGAATTCAGTTGGACGAGGGAGGGCAGAAGTAAAAGGGATCTGGACAGGCTGCAGGCCTGGTCAGCAATTGGCTCCTGGAGTTCAACCCCACCAAGTACAAAGTCACGAAGATTGGGGAAAGACAAAGAACACCACAGACGGAGTACAGTCTAGGGGGAGCCAGAGACTACAAACCTCACTCAGGGAAAAAGATCTTGGGGTGAGTGTAACACCAGGCACATCTCTTGAGGTGCACATCAACCAAATAACTGCTGCAGCATATGGGCGCCTAGGAATCCTAAGAACAGCATTCCGCCATCTTAATAAGGAATCGTTCAGGACCCTGTACACTGTGTACGTTAGGCCCATATTGGAGTATGCGGCACCAGTTTAGAACCCACATCTAGCCAAGCACGTAAAGAAACTAGAGAAAGTGCAAAGGTTCTCAACAAGACTAGTCCCAGAGCTAAGAGGTATGTCCTACGAGGAGAGGTTAAGGGAAATCGACCTGACGACACTGGAGGACAGGAGAGATAGGGGGGATATGATAATGAATATAAAATACTGAGAGGAATTGACAAGGTGGACAGAGACAGAATGTTCCAGAGATGGGACACAGCAACAAAGAGACACAGTTGGAAGTTGAATACACAGATGAATCACAGGGATGTTTGGAAGCATTTCTTCAGTCACAGAGTAGTCAGGAAGTGGAATAGATTGGGATGCAATGTAGTGGAGGCAGGATCCAATCATAGCTTTAATCAGAGGTATGGTAAAGCTAATGGTGCAGGGAGAGTGACCCAGTAGCGGCTAGTGAAGAGGCGGGGCCAGGAGCTATGAATCGACCCCTGCAACCAAAACTAGGTGATTACAAACACACACACACACACACACACACACACACACACACACACACATACACACACAGACACACACACATACACACACACACACACACACACAGACACACACAGACACACAGATACACACACACACACACACCCACACACACACACACACACACACAGACACACACACAGGCACACACAGACACACACACAGGCACACACAGACACACACACACACACACACACATACACACACACACACACACACACATACACACACACATACACACACACACACACACACACACACACATACACACACACATACACACACACACACACACACACACACACACACACACACACACACACACACACACACACACACACACACACACACACACACAAAATAAATTCTATGAAAACTTTAACAATGTTCGTATATTTTTGTTATTGATGTTAAATTTTCTTTATAATTTAATTTTTTTTTTATTTCTGATGAGTACTAACATTAAATAATACTCACACTGGAGAAGACAGTGACAACGATGTAGTCGGTAAAAGTAGTTGAATCTGACAACATTGGAGGACAGAAAAACCAGATGAAATACGATAATAAAAAAAAACACATTCAGAGGAATTGATGAGGTAGACAGAGACGGGCCGTGTGAGAGGCGAGAAATAGGTAATCGGGGGTAAGAAAGTTAAAAATACAAATGAGCCACAGGAATATCAGGAAGCACTCTTTCTGCCTCAGAGTGGCCTGGAAAAGGAATGATCTCGATGGAGAAGTGGTGGAGGCACGCTCCATCCATAGTTTTAAGAGCAGGTACGATAGGACCTATAAACCTAAGGAGTCAAGTTGTTATTATGCAGTGTGCAGCATTATTTCTTAATTCAATAGTTTACTGCAGC